ATTTTAATCCTTTGTATTCTTGCCTTTCATTTCTATGGACAATCAAGAATTATGTCCTTTGGACAAATAAATTCAAACTTTGTAACGGTCTTATATGTAAAAATAGCAAAAGACATAGATAATTGGTTTGATTTTTATATCCAATAGGTTTGAGATTTCATTTATCTCACTACTATTCATTTCAAAATTTCTCTGTTAGTAACTGCTTACCTCTCTAGGTATTGCACTTTTATGAATGCATATGACCTTCTGAATTTTATAAGAGAAGAACTAGACTTTCTTTGGCAGGCAAAATTTTTCCAATGAACTGATCTTCTTTTTTCACCTTATATTACAAAGATTGGATTTTTCTAAATGTTTTGTCTATGCGACATCTTTAACATTTGAATTGATTTGAAATGATTTTATCCTTGCATTCTCACTAAATAGTTAGATTTTTGTTTTTTTCTTTGAACCAGTGTAAACATTTTATAGCACTTGGTTCTTTGAAAAACAGAATCCATGCCATACCTTCAAGTTGGCACACAGCCAGAAATTCTGTGTTTGTGTATGTGTGTGTGTGTGTGTGTGAGGATGTGTGTTGGGGGGTTTGGGAGGATGGGGGATTTGAATTGTTCATAGTCTGTGAGATTCATCAAAATAGTGTTTGAAAATCTTGTTTTTATTTTTTTTTCTTTTGATGATGCACATTTCAGTGCTTCATGTCTTGATTCTCTTTTCTTTCATTTCTCATCATGTTCATTTGAAGATGTTCTTTCACTAGTTCCAAAATTTGTATTTCTATATTGTCAGTTTTCATCTTGAAACATACACATAGCAATATGCTGTGAATCATAAAATTCTACATAAATTCCAACACTTTAAAAATCCTGCATATTCTCAATACAGGTTTACCTGAACTTCTATTCCTATTTTTATTTAGCACAAACTTATTAACATTTAAAACATTGGTGCTTTTAAAAATTCTATTTTTGGGATATTTTAGCTGCAAGAAATATAAAAAGCTGTGCTAAGTAACTTTAAAAAATAAGATATGTATTATCTAATGGATGACTATGAAAAAAAGTGGCTTTGTTGTTAGTTGAGTGAATTACCCAATAATGGACTCCAAAACTCATGTTGTTCTCATCTTTAGTTTTATTTTGGCATAATTTACATGTAATAACACTTTTCCATTTTAGGTACATAATACATTCTGACAAATGTATGATCTTATGATTATGACCACCATCAAGAAATTAAAAATTTCTGTCACTCCAGAAAGTTTTGCCAATCCCTATATAATTAATTCCATTCCCTCTCCCAATTTAGTCACTGGCAATTTCAGTGGGGTTATATAGTGTGTATTCTTTTGTGTTTTTCCTTATATAGCATCATGCTTTTGAGGTGATTGCTTATGTCAGTATTCTCTTCCTTTTTACTGCTTGAGTGACAGTCAGTTTTATAGATGTATTATTCACAATGATATGTTTAAACATTCACTAGTTGATGGGAATCAGAGGTGTTTCCAGTTTTGACTTATGTAGAAAGCTGTTATAAACACTGACATACTAGTCTACGTGTAGATATAAGTTTATATTTCTTTTGGGTAAATACTTAGCCACATGAATGCTAGGCCATATATTAATTATATGCTTAACATTTGTAAGAGCCTTATTGTTTTTCAGAGCGACTAACATTCTGGATCCCCACCAGTAATACAACAGAGTTCTTATTGCTCACATACTTTCCAAAAATTCCTATTTTAACCCTCTGAAGAGAGAAAAGTTTTTAATTTTGATTAAGTCAATGTATTGATTTCTTCTTCTAGATTTCCAGTTTGTTTTTTTGTACATTCTAATTATACAAACTTGTCAATCCAGAATTATACCAAATCAAATATCATAAGAACTTTCTTCTAGTTTTTTCCTAAAAGTTGTATGGTTTTTAGCTTTTATATTTGGATTTAAGTCTGTGATCTAGTTTCTTTTTTTTTTCCCCTTCTCACCTTCTTTCTTTCCCTCACTTTCCTTTCTTGCACATATAGGTATGTACAGCGAACCTCATTTGTTGAATTTCCTGCCATATATTAGATTGTACTTTGTCCCATCTTTATAGTCACAAACTACTACAGAAATTCTAGGCACCACATCCAGAATGATATCCAAAAAAGACCATCTCTTTATAAAAGTGCTCCAAAAGATCTATTTTTTTTAGCCTTTTATGTTCTTCATATGTAAACCAATCACTGGAAAGAGTAATGGGACCACCAAGATTCATTTATTCATTTAACAAGAAATGTGTTTTATTAAATGTGTGTGCACGCAAAAGCACAACCCCTAGCAGCTGGGAATATAGTAGTAACTAAGAAAGTCACAAATGTTGTCTGTCCTCATGAAGCATACAATTTACCGAGGGGCAACTCTATTTTCAGAAAAAAAATAAAATAAAATAAGTATCTGTATAATATGGTGTACAGAGTGCTAAGAGGTAAAAGGATAAGGGGCTTAGAAGCATGTGGGTAGAGTAAATATTTAACTAGGTTAATCAGGGAAAGTTTCACTATATTGAGTTTTGAATAAAGACCTGAAGACAATGACCCAGCAGGCCCTGCAAGCACCAGACTGGAGAATAGTGCAGGCAGAAGGAAAAGGGCAAAGGTCTTAAGAACAGGAAGGAAACTACAGTGGTTGGATGAAATGATAGGAAGTTGGTGAGATGCAGAGCATGTATTGATAGATCACTGTAAGTATTAGTCATTCTCAATAAAGGACAATTTTGACAAAATTAAAAAAAAATTGGTGATGTCTGACAGCCTGTTGGTTGTTAAAACTTAGGAGAGAGGAAAAATCAGGAAAGCCCGGGATACCGCTAAATAATCAACAATGAATAGGGAAGTCCAGTTCTCCACTACACTTTCCCCTCAACAAGGAATTATCTGAGCCAAGTGTCAATAGTGCGAGGTTGAAAAAATGGTATTTTAGATCAAAGTGAGGGATAGTTGATATTGGGTGATTTAGAATTAGGCCAATATGTTTTGAGGAGAGGAGTGATCTCGTTAAGGATTTAAAAGTTGTACACTGTTGTGAATAGACTAGAGGGACAGAGGATAGAAAATAGGATAGAATTTAAGAGGATACTGAGCTTATTCTGGACAGACTTGATGGTCTGGAATCGGATGGTAGTAGTAGTGGTGGTAATAAATGATCTATTCTGGATTATGTTTTCCAGGTTGAGGTAATACGATTTAATAACTGCCAGAAATTAAATGCTTATATCCCCCTTAAAAGATGGAAGTTGAAACTAGTCATCAGTGGGATGGTGTTTGGAGTTGAGGCCTTTGGGGAGCGATTTGGTCATGAACCTCCTAACAATCAAAACTGTGAGGATAACATTATTGTTATAAGCTGCCTACTTCTTGGCATTGTGTGACAAAAGGAACAGGCACTAATACTCAGGACTTGTCGGTGTAAAAGAGATAAGCCTTCTGTGTTCCCGCACATACAAGTTAGTGATTATGTGGGTGTAGCTGGTCCCAGAGTGGCATCTTCCCAAAGAATATAACTGGGGCAGAAATGGGAGAAAGAATGCCCATATGGATATTTGGATAGAAAAACCAACAGCAGCTGTTACTTTGTATCTTATGGAAATAAGAATGGACATTACTCGATTCATGAATGGCTACCTCAGGGGCACAATTGTTCTACATTATAGGCTGCTGATTTATTTTAAATACTTTTATATCCATAGCATTGAGTGCTCTTACTAAATGTCTTCTCATGCCATCCTTCATTTGGCAACAATTTGATAGATGAACTCCTACATCAGTCATTAGAGAATTGTACTTATCCTTTCAGTATTTGTATCCCAAACAATTACTGACTTCTTAGAAAGGATGCTGATGTATATTGTTTAATAATTGCTTTCTGAGCAATTGTTCTGTCTGCTATAAAATATTATAAGCTCTTTTTAATGTGTTAGAAAACTACTTAATACATTTCTCCTACTTAATTATCATAATAGCTAACAACTTGACAAAGATCCCTTCCTTGATGAAACTCTATTCAGGCCGCTTCTGGGGACTTTGACTTTTGTACTTCCATAACCTCACTATATTGTCCTGTCTTAGTAAGAATTCTCAGTCAGTTTGGTCAGAATGCTCCATTCTCTATAATCGATAACGGAGTTTCTCATACTCCAGTGTGAATTCTGATCACTTTGGAGTGTCTTCAGCCAGCCTATTGCCCTGTTTATCTTGTCCAGAGTGCTTCCTCTTAGTAATTTTGTATCCACTGTTCCTTGGCTGTACACTCCCGTCTTTCTTTGTATTCAGAATGGAACTTAGTTTTTTTCTCCTTTTGCAACAGTCTTTAATGAAGTCTTTCTTACCACTTTAACAAGCGTCAGAATATTGTTCTATTTCCCCCCTCCCCCCAAACAAAAAACTTTGTAAGTAGGGTATTTCTAATGCACATGCAAAAGTAAAATGGGATTTGTCAAGTAATTTTAGTCACGATTAGGTATCCCTGGCCTATTAGAAAACAGGTCAATCCAAAAAGTCCTTGAGAAATTAAAAGCCTTGACACAAGCCTTTCTACGTACTGCAGGCTTCCTACTGCGAGGGCCTGACTAGCACACAGTAGTTCTCCCTGTGGTTGGCTCTCATCAAACTGATCTGGTGGCTCATCTTCTGACTCAGTAGTTTGCTGAGGGCTGGTGAACAATACAGCTTCCTTTTCTCACTTAGACCTGCCTTCCCCTCTGGCCCAGAGCAGGCCCAGAGTATATTAACGGGCAGCTGGAAGAAGCCGCAGCTGCGACCTGACCAGGGGTCCACCCGGGCGGCTTCTCCGCCCAGAGCCCGCTCACCCCGCCCAGGTGCGGAGAAATTAGTTGGCTCCCGAGGAGCGGCCCGGGCGCTAGGCCCGCCTCCCCGCGGGATTGGAGGCTCCGCCCGGCCCGAAAGCCTGGCGGGAGGCGTCGCGCGGCCTGGTAGCCGGAGACTCAGAGGCCCGGTCACCCTCTCGTGTTCCGGCGTCCTGGGGTCGGCACCCGACCCGCACCTCCACACCCCGATCTCCGCCTGCCCGGCTCACGCCACGCCGCGCCGCAGGCCTGGGCAGGAGCTGCCGTCGGAGTGAGTCGCCGGGCCTCCAGGCCGCTCCCGGGTGCCCGACCAGAGTGAGGTCCCCGCTTCCTGGTTGGTACTTTACTTTTCCCGAATCCTTGCTTCTGAGGCCGGCTTATACTTTTCTCCAACTCCAAGGGAGAACCTGACGCCCCCTTCAGCTCGCGTTTGCCTAAAAGGTTGGGCTCCTGCAGCGGCGCGGGGGCGGGTGGGGTTTCGCTTCCGGCTGGCGGGCGAGCGCTTGGGGCGGGAAGTTAATGGGCCAAAGTTGGCTGATAGTTCTGGTCCCGAATTGTCCCCGCGGCTGAAGAGCTGCCAGGCTGGGACTCCCGCCGCCTGCTGTTTTTTTGCAGCTGTTCAGGCGTCCGGGTACCAGTTTGTCCTGGGAAACTCTTGGGCTGTTGGTCGGAGCCCCGGGAAAGGAAGAACCCTGAAGCAGAGGGGACACTATGTCAGGGACTGGCCTTGAGAGGAGGCTGAGCCTCCCCTTGGGAGAGTGGACTCAGAATCTGCTCCCTGGGTGTGAATTTCACAGTCAACAGTTATCTTTCAAGTCTCAAGTCAAGTCAATGTCAAGTCAAAGAATTTCCCCCAAATTTAGGATGTGTCTTGCTGAAAGTGTTCTTCAAAGGTGTTAGGTTTAAATCAGCAAATAGGTGTTGGGCACCTGGATAAAGTAGTGGTCTTGGGGATCCTCACTTTTCCTACTGTAGGTGGGGCTCACCATTCTAAACTCCTGCTGTGTCCTTTGTTGGTCTTAGGGGAACAGGTGGGAATTGTTAAAAGATTTCTGCTGTGTTCCTAGCTCCACGTGGATGTTGCCGCTAAGTGTAAGATAGCAGGGCATTGGATTAAAGTGATTTGAAATCCAGCAAAGGGAACAGAAACTTTTTCATTTGGAAGATGGGAAGATCAAGCAATGACAACTTTGACTTTAAAAACAGTCTTGTAATTATTTACAGGATCATATGACTTTCATCTTTAGTTTCAGGCATATATACTGGTATTTTACGTAAGAAATGTTCTCTTTCAACTCAAAATCTCATTGTGAAATTCGCTAATCTTACATAATTATTGTTAATAGATTAAACTTGTATAAGCAAGATTTTGTTTGACAGTCCCGCATTTTTAAAGTAGGGCAGATGTTACTTTAGTAAGGGTGTGGAAAGGGGAGGATATAGAGAAATGACAAGAAGCCGAAATAGTAGTGCCAGCCATGAAACTGACTCCAGGCTTAGTGTGCCAAGTTCTGCATCCATGGAAATCCCGGGGTCATGTCAGTCGCCGCGCTTTGTGGTGCTGGTCCTTGTAGCTGTCCGTTTGTTCTTGACTAGTGACTGAAGACCTGCTCCACATTGACATTTCGCATTCAAATGAAAGAAGACTTTATATTAATTTTATTTTGTCTTTGGCCTTGGAAATTGTTAATTCCTTATTTCTTAAGGTATATTTTCCACGGTTTATGGGCACATGTAGATTCCCAGTGAAATTAAACAGGTTTATTTATTTTTTAAAGATATTTTTATGCATACAGAACTGGGGTACAGGCCAGAGGTGCAGGGGCGGTGAGAGGATTCACCAGAGACAGAGTGGGGAACAGAACAGGCTGACTGACAAAGTACACTGCTGAGGAGAGCAGCTGGTGGGTCAGGAGAGGTCTGCCATGCCATGTGGGTCACCTCTGGGGCTGGCAGGGATTGAACTCATGCTGAAGTGGCTTTTGCTTCTTAATGCTGTGCTTTAACCCGCTCTGCTACCAGGGAGGGCCTTTTGTTTGTTTGAAGCAGTACCTCTTAGGTTTCAATCTTGTATGTGAATCTCAAATGGGGTATATAAAGTGTGGACTTTCCCAAACTGAATTGACCTTAGAATCCTAAATTCTTGAACCTCTGAAGAGGTTCAAGAGACAAAGGTGTCTAACTCCAAAACGTTTATATTTTTGAGTACTTACTTCACCCTTTCTACCAACAGAAGTGATGCCACCAAGAAGGAATGAGAAATACAAGCTTCCTGTTCCACTTCCAGAAGGCAAGATTTTGGATGATACAGAAGGAAAACAGTGGGTGCTGGGAAAAATGATTGGCTCTGGAGGATTTGGATTGGTGTATCTAGGTAAAGTATAACTATAAATTACTAAATATTTTTAACATATATGTGACTGTAACTATGATTTCTAATAATACCTTGAAAGTGAAAGGTTTGAAATAAAATAAATGTTACAAATGTGCTTTATTAAGTAAATGAAGATAGTTCATGTTTAGAGAAGGCTCAGGACATCACTGATCTACTCCTTTTTAGCAGTTTTTTCTGAATCTTAGAAGTCTTTGCAGAGCATAATTATATAGTCTGCCAGACAAAATATTAATGTTCTTTTTTGATAGGGTGTTTTCTGAAAGTATTCCTTCAGTGGCTCAGAAGCTATAACTTTCCAATTATAATGCTTTGTATTTATGAACTTTAATCATTGAGATACTAGGTTCTGATTATTTCTAAACTGGGCTACACAAAGACTTAACACCAGGCAGCATCTTCTGCAGACAATGTGTTAATTTCTCTCCTATAATTCTAGACCATATCTAGTTATATACCATTCCTGTGATAATAAAATAGACCCGCAAACTTATTTATTTATTTATTTATTGTGGTCTTTGATACACATAAGGAGCTCTGGTCCACTATCTGTAACCTTACATCTAATATTTAAAAATTACATTGAATTTTAAGATTGTTCAAGGCTACCTCTATCCCATAGTGGAATGGTCAGAGTGTCCATTATAAGACTAGATTTAATGAGTGACATAAGATTAATATTAAAAGAAAATTTTCCCTGAAGGATAAATTCTCCTAAGTGTATAGACTGTTTCTGTAGGAGTAACAGTGTGGTAAAAGACCAATATTAGGGAAATCTTGGGTTCCTTATTAAACTTTTTGAACTGTAGTAGAGGAAAGACTTGCCTTCTACTCATTTAGTTAGATAGTTTGGTCTATGAAAAAACTGACAACAGAAAGACTAATGTAAGCACATTGGTTTTTAATATGTGCATGTGGGTCACCACATGGAAAAAAGTGCATACCCCCCAAAAGCAGTGAGATTCAAGAGTTTATATATCTTTTTTTTTTTTTTAAAGATTTATTTATTTGTACATACAGAACTGGGGTACAGGTCAGAAGCTCAGGGGTGGTGAGAGGCTTCACCAGAGACAGAGCGGGGAACAGAACAGGCAGATTGACAAAGTACACTGCTGAGGGGAGCAGCGGGTGGGTCAGGAGAGGTCTGCCACACCATGTGGTCACCTCCAGGGCAGGCGGGAATCAAACTCATGCAGAAGCGGCTTTAGATTCTCAGTGCTGTGCTTTAACCAGCTGCGCCACCAGGGAGGGCCTATATATCTTCTTAATAAAGGAAAAGGGATGAGAAGGAATAGGGTTACTTAAGTGAATTGAATGAAATTTAGAGAGAGAAAATGAATTTTAGGAAAGATGTTGTACCCTTAGAAAAATAGATGGGGAATGTGATAGTTTGTGAGGAAATTTATCTGGAAGTGGTGATCAACTTCTCATCTCCTCTATCATGAAAGTCAGCCTTTCCTGGTTAATGACACTCCCAAATTGAGGTTTTGGGAAGGATCTCTTTAGGCAAGAAAAAAAAAAGAAAGTTCAGAGAAAACCTGTCACCTGTCCTTACATTTGCTGTTTTTCAAGTGCCTTGAATTTACAACAGTCCTTATGCCAAAGAAGTATATTTGGGAATGACATATTCCACGTCCTTCACAAACTAACTTTTGTTTCTGATAAAAGTAAGAGTATAGTTTTGAAGGAATGAATGAAATTTTAGTCATTTAGTCACTGCTCATTAATCACTCAGTGTCTAATCTAGTTGGAAAGATAACACGCAAAATTCAGGTTGGCTAAATAAAGTACACTTTCTCCATATAAGAGGTTTAAACCTGCTTGAAAAATGCTATAAATCTGTGTTTACTAAGTTGAGTAACAGCACAGTTCAGTAAGAAATCGCAACTTATTAATTACACTTTTCATTTTTTTAATCTTTGAATTATTTGAACAGTTTCAAAGAGCTAGAGAAAAAGTGTGATTACAATCTTACCCCTTCTTAAAGTGTAATTTAAGTGTGTGTTTAAAATTAAGTATTTCTGTATAAATATACACAGATGTATATTTACATATAAGTTTACACATACTCACTACTTGTGTGGTTGCCGTTGTGAAAAGGAATTTGCTTGCTCAGGAATGTGATTTTTTTTTTTTTGTCTATTCAAATGCAGAAAAATCCTTCCCTCTTTCAGTATGTGCCACATTTTTACTCTTTTTTTATTGCCAAAACAATATTTGTTTTACAACAGTTTTCAGGGTTCCATATGTTAGGCAGTATCCCCTGCTATCAGAATTTCAGAACCTGGATACTGGAAGTATTAGCAAGTGCTCATCATTGGTGAAAGACTTAAGGAAATGCTTAGCTATTTCGAGGAAAAGTCTCCATACTTCAGAATATGTAATAAAGCTGTGTGTTCCAAATGCCCTGGTTCTACCAAAAGTAGAACTAATAAATAATAAAATCAGCTCTTTAGTGAAGTACCATTTAATGTAGGATTTGCGATTATATGTAAAATGTCCAAGCAGATCTGTAATTTGCATCATGTTTTTGTGATTTTCTGTCTATAACTGAAGAAGTAGGTAAATTAAAAATTTCTTTGTTACTTTTATGTCCAGTTACATTCTTCTCAGATAGTCTTTTTAGATACACCATTTCAGTAGACACTTTATCTGCATTTATTGCCCAAGACAGAAAAAAAACTAGCCATCGTTCTTAACTCATTGTGCACGTACAACAGTCCTCTAGCTTTGAGATCAATATCCAAAGGCCTTTCAATAATCAGAACTTACAGTAAAGGGGGTTGGTGAAAGAAGTTTGGTAGTTGCTGTTGAGTTGGAGAAATAATGTGTCTGTAGCATTAAAAGAAGTAGTTATGAGGGAAAAGAAAAGTCTGAGTATTAAGAACAAAGTTAAAGTTCTTTCTTTGTATATGAAAAGAGAAGGCGAAAAAAGGAAGAAAGGAAACTGCTTCGGGGGTGGGGAAAATTGCTGTCTTTTTAGTTTCATGTAAGTAAAAAAGTTTTTAAAACCTCAGGGAAGGAGAGCGCATGCCAAATGTTTGAATTCTACTTAAGGGCTACATGTAACACAGAATCGCACAGACCAAGGGAGAATCAGTGAATATGTGTGTGGGCTTTGGCATTAGACTAATCTGGCTTCAGTTCTGGCCCGATTGAGGCACTTACAGAATGGCTTTCACTTACTCACAAGTCTTTGTTTCTGTCCTGTATAATTGGAATAACTATAATTGTGGGAATTTAATGAGATCATGTGTTTAAAGAGCTTGGTAAGCACTTAACTTTTATTTATTTGAAATTTTCCATTCTCAGTGATCATTGATCTCTAGGCTTAGCATCAGGTGTGACAGTGGATCAAGACAGAGACAAAGATATCTGTCTGCAGGAGGGGTTTTCCACTTGATCCTGTCATGGGTCATGATAGACTGAGCTACTAATGGGGTAAAAATAAGAACATATATCCCTTCCTGTGGTGTAACGGGTTAAAGTGCAGCTCTATGAAGCTATCTGGAGTCACTGCAGCACAAGTTTGATCCCTGGCCAGGGAGGTGACCACATGGCATGGCAGAACTCTCCTGACCCACCCACTGCTCCCCTCAGCAGTGTACTTTGTCTATCTGCCTGTTCTGCTCCCCACTGTGACTCTGGTGAATCTTCTCACTGCCCCTGCACCTCTGGCCTGTATCCCAGTTCTGTGTGCATAAATGAATTTATTAAGAAAAAAAAATAACATAGAGAATCTTTGTGGAGACTAAGACATTTTGCTGACTGACCTTTATTTGTACTCCCTGCCCCCTTAAAAAATAACAAGAGCCATGATGACATAGTGAAAAGTTCGGAGAGGCTTTAGGTTTCAGAAATTAGCCATATCCTGAAAAATGAAATTATAGGTAATAAACTTCAGTTAAAGTGCTTTTAGGGGCTTATTAAATGAGTAAAATAGAAATGATTTATCTGTGGAAATTTATGTTTTTGAGGTTGAACACAGTAATGACCATTTAGCATCATTGGAACATCATGCATAGAATAGATATTTAACATCTACTTGGCTGATGTTGGCATACTTAGCCTAAAGTTTTTTTAGTCTTTTCCATAATTGTAGGTTATATAATTAAATTACCTTTAATTTCAGCCTTTAAGCTTACAGATGGATCTTAATTATAAAGAAGTCTGAGACAAGTTATTGATGAAGCTATTGTAACATCATCTACCAAAATATATATGTTTTATTAACAATAAGTTGATAATATTGTCTTATAAAGAGTAACACATTACTATAAATACAGTTAAGTGTGGTGAAGCCTTAAGAGCAAACCATAAATGTTTAGATTCCATCCAAGTGGCTGGAACATACTGTTTGACTTATCCTTTCAGGTTCTCTCTCTTTTTTTTTTCCTTTTTAGAAACAGAAGTCTATGGGGGAGGGTAGAATGATGAGGAGTTCTAAATTTTATTAATTTAACTTGTTCCACTGGTGAGGAAATAGACATCTACTTATGAGGAAGCAGAAAAGATTATGAGAGGCCTCCCTGATGGGCTAGGGGTTAAGTCTCAGCGCTATCACCACTGTGGCCTGAGTTCCAACCCTGGTCAGGGAGCTGACCCACATGGTGCAGCAGACCTCTCCTGTCTTACCCACTGCTCCCCTTAGCAGTTTAGTTTAGTCAGTCCGCCTGTTCTGCTCCCCACTCTGTCTCTGGTGAATCCTCTCATCCCAGTACCTCTGGGTGTATTCCAGTTCTTCAACACAAAAATTTAAAAAGATACATGTGTAACTTACTTTTTAGTCAACTGTCATGGGTTGATTTTTAAGGTATGAGCATTTAGAAGAGCCTAAAAAGAATGCTAGCAACAAAGTGGAATTCTTGGAACACATCTTGCTTCATTAAACACTGCTATATTAGATGTTATTTTGATAGTGTTTTATGAAGAAAACTTTTTATTATGCAACATTATGGTGTCATGACTTTTGTTACTATGAA